CGGCACCTGCCCCCGGACTATGCTCTGTACGCAGTGAAATGTGTGTACTGGTTCATACTCTAGTAAGTGCTGGGTTTGCTTTCACCTTCTTCCCTAAGTAGCCTTAGAAGTTTGAATGTGGCCACCATTACTATTTGGAAGGAGGATTCTTAAACTGAAAATAAATTATACAAAGGTGGCAGTTCCCCCAGTCTGAGACCAAAAAAACAATACCAACAACAAAACAATGACAACAACAATTTCCTGCATGCTGCTTCCTTATCAACTAGTCAGAAGAATCAAAAATGTAAAATCTCTCAGGAGTCCTTTGTTATCTGCTTCTTCTACAAATGACTCCCATAGAAGTTCTTATAGAATAGAAAAACTAGTGGTTCAAATACAGATCACACTAATTAAATATTTCAATTAGATAAAAGAATTACATAGCAGAGGAATTCTTCCCAGGCACAAGGCAGCTAAGAGTACATACCATTAATTGTTATACTAGTAGTTACATAGTTAGATCTGGAAAACAGGCAGTGATAATCACAGAATCACAACATGGTTGAGGTTGGAAAGGACCAACCCTCCTGCTCAAGCAGGGAATAATGTTATAGTCAAAATAAGAAAAAAGACAAGCGGTCTTTTTTATTTGTTTTGCTTTTTTTCCAATGGATTAATGCAAATAAGGTTATTTTTCTGGGATGGTGATCATCTGTCTTTCCAAAACACAGTGCCCCAAAATACTTGGACACTCTTAACTTCCTCAGTGAGGAGGCACTGTGTGCGCAAAATTCTAATAATTCATTTGAAAAATATTTTGATGACCTGAACCCTGTCCCTTTTCCTTATTCTTGCCAGTAGCGCTTTCATCCTAAGCAGGAAGAGTACCAGGGATCTGCTGAAAAGTCTTCTTATTTGGAAGACTCTTAATTACGTTGAAGTGAGCATGTATCTGAATGACTTCTGAAGGCAATACAGTAGATTAGTGGAAAGCTGAAAGTTGTCATAACAACTTCTTTGACCTCAAAAAAGTCTTTTGTACTGTTTATTTTCCCCAGTGACTCAGCATTTTTAGCCTTAGAAAGGAAGTGCAGCACTTAAGTGCTGCTGCAGTTAGAAGGTGTGAGTTAGAAGTCAGTCGTAGTGCCCAGTGACAATTTTTATATAACTGTCTGCACAGGTAGGAGTCTTCAACAGGTAAGAATATGAGGATTTAGTACTTTTGATTGACATATATCTCTTTAAAGTTTTAAGCTCCTTGGAATCTGTTTCTCTTGGATTCTTTTAAAATCACATTAGTAACTGTGTTGTGCTTGTTAAAGACACACATTTGGTTTATGATAGGCTTACATTTCTAGTCCCATAGAATGAAAGCTTCAGATCCTGGAAATGAGGGT